TCTTTCCCTTAGCTTCCACTATCTGGTCCTGTAAGAAACAAAATACTGGGCTAAATGGATCTGTGGTCTAGTATGGCAGTTCCCAGGGCAGAGGGAGAGTGAGATTAAGTCCTGGATGCTCTGGTGCAGGTAGGCAGATAACATCATTATCATAGACGTAAGATAGGGCTGGGCAAATACTTGAAATAAAAGAATGCAATTTCAATCCACTTGTTACTAGTCACTCATTCATGTCAAACTTGGCAAATTATTTGAGCCAAATAAAAAAAATTTGCTTTTTCAGGCTAGATTCAGAGAGGACTCAGGCACTATTAACTAAATGTAGGCAGAGGTAGTGCCCTCCTGACCCTACACAGTGCTTAGGATGCTTAGCAGGACTGTAGAAAACTCATGTGTGAACTTTGTCTGCCAGGTTCAGAGGACAGATCTGAACCAAGGGCTCTCACTGTGATGACTTCTCACCAAGAGCTCTCGCATATCCCTGGGCTGCTAGTTAGGGTTACCTGAAGGCAGAAACTCTCTCAGAGAGAAGCTTGAATTCCAGGCCTCTGAGGCTGTTCTGCTTTGTATAATAACTGTGTTCACTGGCCAGAGAAAAAGTTTCTAGCCTGATGAATAATGGCAGTCACCTGGGATCTAGTGCTTGCTCCAGTGAATTGTTAATTAATTTAAGGAAAGTGAAACAGTTTGTCTCATCACAGAATAGGAGATCATAGGCTGAACTGGTTCTCAGAATGAGTCAGAATAGTATTTAAACCCATGCTTCCCACATCCCAGAGGAAAGTCTGGCACAGCAAGCTATAGAGAGAATACTGCTGCTTTGCTGGTTGTGTGAATGTTGCCTCGCTCTCCCTATGACTCCAGCTGTTCTCCTTTATGCTTTTAATAAAAATGCCCTAAAATGAAACAATTTGGGGGGAGTTGCTACAAAATTTGATATATTTGGGATTTGGGTTGACCTGAGATAATTTTTTTGTTCTAATGTAAACTTTTCATTTACATTCTAACTTACCAGGTCCTAACATATTGTATTTCAGCTGACCAAAATAAAGGCTGGTTTCTTCTGAATAGGCTGTCTCTAGTGGCTGCTACATCTGTTGACCTCATAGGCACCAGAGGTCTGAAGGAGTGAATCCAAAAAGGGAATCGGGATCTAGAAAGCTGAGTGCAGATCATTATGCAGTGCATAGGGAGAGGTCAGCACCTCAGAATGAGATCTGAAATAGCCAGCCCTCTTGGGCATAGAGTTGCCTCTCCAGGAACATGGAACTGAATGGGGCCTGCCAACAACCAGCCCAACTCAGTTCATAGGCATGCTCCAGATCTAGGTTATCAGATTGAGACAGTCCTGAGTGCCCACTCTTAAGTCCTCAGTCTAAGCATGCCTAAGATTGGGGGCTCAGGATGAGGCCAGGGCACCCTCACTGGCAAGCTACCCACTCTGGAACCCATCAGTGGATGCAGCAGGCACAGTGTACTCAGCATTATCCTCCCTAATGTTCCATATTCTGGTATAGATAAGTCCATAGAAATCATGCAAACTTTCCCCATGTTGCTAACAGTGTCAGGAAAAATTTTACAGCACTGCTGTTAGTACAGTTTCCACAGATTATACCAAACAAACCCCAGCTTTCAAGACCATAAGCTCTCTCCCTAATCACTTTGACAAAGTCATAAATGAGCTAATCTCCCCCAGGCCTGATAGATTGGGCAGGAGATTGACTGCTGGTAGTGACGTGTGGTTTTCCCACTCTATAGAAAGGGGGAAAATTCAGCAATGGGATTCTCCCACGAGGGAGTCTTAGAAGAAGAACAGAACCTCAGGCCACCCTGTCACAGAAACGGTCTCTACTTGCCAGGCTGCAGCACTGTTGGTTAGTGCCTAGGTAGGACCTGGGATTCAGCTGCCCTTTAACACTTGGCAATTAGACTCATATGAGGAAGCCCAGCTCAGAGGGCAGCATGTGAATCAATCTGGCACAGCTAGTAACCAAAGAAGAGAGGTCCTGGTTTTACCTGACCATTAGTATCTCTGATGACAAGCAGCACAGGACAGCTCAGGCTGGTCATGCTTCGGTACAAGGTCTTCAAACTAAAGCCATTTCTTGCTGTGCAGTACAGCAGGCTCCAGGGATGTCCAGTGGTCATTCTGGGAGGGAGATGAGGTGCCAGCTGGGAACAAATATAGATGGTCAGTCCCTATCAGGTTCCCTAGCCCCTCCCCAACCTCCTGAAGGAAACCTTTGCATCAGTAACCCTCATACCTTCCCTTACCAGCTGCTCTTCAGGTTCTTCTGAAAGGTGTCTGTTTGTGGTCTACATCAGTGTTTTTCAACCCATGGGTCACAACCCAAAAGTGGATTGGAAGAATAAATAAAAGGGTCGCAAACAATCATGGAAAAACGTGGAAAATCAAGGATTTTCTCCTTTAAAGGAGAAAAATGTGGGAAACCATGTGTTTCCGCGTGCAGGCTAGCAGAATTCCAGCCTGCAAGGGGCTGCTTGGGGCTGGGGGAAGCAGGAGGAGGGTGACCGGAAGCAGGGGGTGCCACATGCATGTATGCGTGCACACATGCATGTGGCAGCCAGATGGCATGGAGAGCAGCTTCCGCAGCTCCCTGAAGGTAAGTCTGTGGGGCAGAGGGGGGCATAGACAATGCACTGGGAGGGGCATGTGCCCCCCGCAGATTTGTGCACCCACAGCAGGCATAGGGCTGTAGCCTGGCTGGACCTGCACAGGCAGGAGCTGCCTCTGTGGCCCAGAAGATGGGACTTGGAGCAGGGCATCAAGACTTGTTGGTGCTGCTACAGCCACCAGGACCCCTGTGCCAGCCACGCCACCAGCAGTATGAGGAGTAACAGATGGAAGCGGGAGCGCGCTGCCTTCACCTCCTCCTGCCACCACTGTACGCCTTGGGCGACAGCTCTAGCCTGAAGAGGAGGTGGGGTGATGGGCAGAGTGGGTGGCTGGAAGGGAGTAGCAGTGACCAGACCATGGTTGGCAGGGTAGAGCTGCAGCCCAGTGTGCAAGCAGCTGGTGGTGGGAGGAGATGAGGGCAGCCTGTTCTTCCCATCCGTTACTTCTACTGTTGGCAGTGCGGCTGGTGCAGGGGTCCCAGCAGCCCTGGCGGCAGCAGCAGCAAGTCTCAATGCCTGGATTTGGGTCCTATTCACTGGGCCACAGAGGCAGCTCCTGCCTGTGCTGGTCTGGCCAGGCTGCAGCCCCATGCCCACTGTGGACCCCCCACAACTGACCCCACGCTCCCACCCCCTTCCGTTCACACTGGGGGTCTAGGGGCAGGAGGCAGTGGGTCAGGAGTGAGGGGCACCAGCAGGGCCAGGCGGCTGTGAGTTGGGAGTGAAGGCACCAGCAATTTGCACTGTGAAAATTGTACAATGATGAATGTCACTTGGGAGTAATGAAGGGTCACATGTTGATAGTACTGTTAATGTTTTCCTGTTGATGTTGATTTCTGTCTATAAAATTAAGACCATTGAGCTGCTTTAAATTGTAGTGTGTAATAGGTATTTTGGGGCCAAGATACTTGTGTGTTTTCTACTTAAACTATTTACTGGGTCAGGATTGGCCATTGATGTTTACAAATGGGCCAATGGCCCCAAGGTCTGGAACAGCCTGCCACCGGAGGTGGTTCAAGCGCCTACATTGAACACCTTCAAGAGCAAACTGGATGCTTAACTTGCTGGGATCCTATGACCCCAGCTGACTTCCTGCCCTTTGGGCAGGGGGCTGGACTCGATGATCTTCCGAGGTTCCTTCCAGCCCTAATGTCTATGAAATCTATGTCTATGAAATCTATGGTACAAAAAAGGTTGAGAATCATCAGTCTACATGACACCTAGGGACCACCTCATCCCACTTACATGCCAGCTCCACGATACTGTCTCCCAGGTTCTCCTCCCCATACAAGGAGATCCTGGGGTTCTGCATGAAATGGCCTTTACAACGTACCCTCACCCTAGGGAGACAGCATCCAGGGAAGGGGAGCCACTAAAGTGCTCCCCTCCTCGTGCTTCCCTTTTTGTTTTTAAAGTGAACATATGTGATATTAGAGACATGACAAGTAAATAATATTAATGTAAAGAGCTGGGACTGGAGAAGTATCTCCAGCAAGCAATTGAACATGCTGTTTCTATCTCTGCTAAATGAGACTTAGCGTGGTCATACTGCATGAGCTGCCATCTCAAATGTCAGCTCCTGGCAGGCCAGTCACATGAAACCCAACATGAATGTAATGTGCACAGCCCAAATGGTCTTTGGCATGCTGGTCCCTGGAGCCCAGCCCAAATGGTCTTTGGCATGCTGGTGTGGGCCTAGGATCCATGTGGGTCCAAGACTGCACCAAAGGCATTCATACTAACCCGTAGAGGGTTTACAACAGGGGTGGGCAAAATGTGGCCCGGGGACCAGATGCGGCCTGCCAGGCCATTCTATCTGGCCCTCAGGGCCCCTAAAAAATGTAGAAAATTAATATTAATCTGCCCTGGGCTGCCTGTCATGCGGCCCATGATGGCTTGCCAAAACTCAGTAAGCAGCCTTCTGCCCAAAATAATTGCCCACCCCTGGTTTACACTGATAGGCAGTCAAGATGATGATGGGGAATAGGGCTGAATAGGGCCATACAAGCAAATGGCTTTGAGGAGCAATAAACTGTAATCTGGGGCCAGGACAGAAAATGCCAGCACATAGTTTGCTGGCAGTCATCCAGACTGCATTCCATGGGGCTGGCCTGGGCAAATACTATTTGCTGAGAAGAATAGAATAGTAATGGAAATAGTGTGCAAATTATTTATTAGATGCCTGTATTAAATGAATGTTTATTATTGTTCTCTGACCAGCTGTACTGGTTGGTTCGCTCCAGAGAGTGACTGCATTAATGGACTCTGGTTCCATATTTACTCTTAAATTCACATTTGACCTTCTTCCCTTTTCCCAAGTAACAGGCTGTTCTCTCTAGCTGCCACCCTTGCCAATCCCAGACTCTGTGTGCCAGGTTGGTCTCACTGGGTTTCAGGCTCAGTAAGAGAATCTGTGGGGCTATTCATCCTCTTGGCTATAGGTGACTGGTGCCTCTTGAGTCACGAGTGCACATGCCCCCCCAGCGACCGGGGTGCGTGGGGGTGTTTCCCCGCAGTCGACTGCACTGACCGGGGGAGTCCCCCCCGCAGCTGATCTCACTCAACAAAAAGTGGCCGTGGCACTTCCGTAAGTGGCTGTGGCCGTTTCTGCTGGTGGCCCCGCTCCCCAGCCATTGCTCGTGCACCACCTGGGAGTGCAGCTGCTTCACCTGGAGGCCCAGCTCCCCGGCCAGCACTGGTGCTCCTGCCTTCCCCCCCCCTGCCCATCGCCTAAGTGGTGAGCGTGACCTTCAGGGGGTGCACCAGTGCTCTCAGGGGCTGCACATGCACCCCTGTGGACCCCCTATGCATCACCACTGCTCTTGGTTACATGGTCTGGTCCCCCCAAAGCCACTGGAGTTAATGGAAATTCACTCTGGAACACCAAAGACCAGATGTAACCCAATGCTGGGGATGATTTCCTGTATGAAGCCCTACTTTGCAGGGGGGTGACCAGGCACTTGAATGTCATCAGGATGAAGCAGCTCTGAACCATGGAAACAAAGCTGGGAGCCCCAGGCAGGGCTAGTTGGCACACTGACACTGGAAGTCTCATAGGCCTAAGCTCCCAAGCAGTGGAGTTGGTCTGGCCAGGACACCAAGCTTCATGCTCTGTAGATTTCCAGAAAAATGGCTCAATCACCTGCTGTCATGCAGTATGGTATCTAGGGCATGGATGGGTGGCCCAACTCCCTGCAAGGGGGAAGCTTGAGAACAGTTAAACACATAGAGTGCACCTGAGTCAGTCACAAGTACAGTTTGTGTCGGCTCTGTGGCAGCTGCGCTGAAGCTGCACTTACCTGCTGCATCTCTCCCGACTTCAAGATGCTGCTCCTTCCATTCAGCAACAGCTCACTGGGCTCCTTGGGGGGTGAAGCCATCACTGCCACATCTGCTTGGCCCAATTCCTCCTGCACAGCAGTTTCAACACACTCCAGGGCCAGGTCATCCTCCAGGCAGCCAGTCTGGCAGGGAGAGCCCCACGCCAAGGGGAGAAGGAGTAAGGTACCATCGTACAAACTGGCCCTTAGGGCAGGGCCAATGCACTCCTGGCACCACAACAAGGGGGGATATTCTGAGGATGTAGGGACACAAGCATGGGGCAAGCCGAATGGTGAGTGTGCCACCCTTCAGGAGGAGAGAGGATTTTAAACCCACTGGACAGAGGCTGTTTTGTTTTTCAGGGGCCCAGAGCCAAGGCAGAAAGGGACAAAGGTGGCTTCAAGCCTCCTTAACACTAGGCTGCTCTTAGACATAGTCCACCCTTAGAGTAAGTTAGAGCAGGTCCAAGGCTGAGTGGCTACTCCACAGCCCTGAATACCTGAAGCATGCCTCCAGCCTCACCCTTCCTGTCACTGCCCTTCACAGGAAGATGTGAGGCAGGGGTAAACAGAGCTATGAGCCAGCCCAACAAGCACCACTCCAGCAGTGCTGACACTCACCAAACCCCATGTGTCCTACCTATCTCAGACTTGGTTAGTCCCTCAGTCCTTTTTCCCTCAGACACAGGGCATCTCTAGCTTGTCTTCCCCTGGGCAGCAATGCTGTCTTTTGTCTCCCCTGTGCGAGGGGAGAAGCAGGGGCAACCCGTCCTATACTGCGAAACCTGAAGCTGCAGGGGGCCCTGAAGTTAAGGGGACCCTTGCGCATAGGCAGTAGAAGTGGGGGGATAATGGGGCTCAGCCCCCACCCCCCCCTCCCAAACACAGGGCAACAGTAGGCATTGCCTTGGGGCAGCCCAGCCACAGGGTCCTACAGCAGTGGGGTAAGGGACACACTGAGCTATCCTGCACAGTCGAAGCCAGAATTGCAGCCAGCTCAGCTGCAGGCAGGTAAGTTTCTTTTAATCTGCTTTTTTTTTTTTTATTTCCATGGGCTTGGGGGGAGGACAGACCAAGACCCCCACAGTGCAGGAGAGAGTAGGTTAGGGGAAGGGTGAATCATTCACGCCTGCACCTGTCCCACTCCTTCCTGCACTGCAGGGATTGTCCCACCTGGCCTGCCCCCCGTTCACTGTGACAGGGGCCCCGGTCCGGCCAGGTTATTGGATAATCAAAGCCTGGTGGCTCCTCCAGAGACACGGCACCAGGAAGCCAAGGGGGCGGAGGGCACATAGCCCTCTGATCTTTGCATGGGTCACAGCTGTGAGCTGGGCTTAGCCTCTGCTCCACGCCTCACCACTGCCGCTTTGAAAATGGCGGGCGCTGCCATGTGCCTCACTGCCCAGCCTGCCCAGTGGTGGGATGCACATGGCAGCGCCCATTGCTTTTGAAGCAGAGGCAGTGAGGCACGGAGACATGGAGCAGAGGCTGAGCCCAGCTCTCAGAAGTGGCCCACCCTTGCTCATGCAAAGAATCTGGGGGCCATGTGCCCTCCCCACTTGGCTGCCTGGCGCCATGCTTCTGGAGGAGCCTCCAGGCTCTTCCTGGGGATGACGTGGGGTGGGGCAGGGCAGTCATGGGGGTCCCGGGGGCTCCTTATCCTCCGGCCCAGCAGTGCAGTTGACGCTGGCCCCTCTCTGGTCCCCAGCTCTGGGCCCCTCTGGCCACTGCGTGGCCAGGGCCAGGGTGGGGAGGCAGCCAGGGCCACAGGCAGGGCAGGTGCCATGGCCTGGAGGCAGCCAAGGCTGGCACTGCCAGTGCCGGTGCAGCTGGGAGGCTGCCAGGGCTGGGACTGGTGCAGCCAGGGCCGGGAGGTGGCTGGGGCTAGTGTGGCCAGAGCCAGGAGGCAGCCATGGCTGGTGTGGCATCTGGGGATGGCATAGCCAGGGCAGGAAGTGGCCAGGGCAGTGCAGCACTGGGCAATGCCGCTCCCTCCCTTGACCCTTTCCCTTCCCCCTCAGACTTTCCCATGGGGGGGCATGTGTGTGCGCATGCATGCACACACACACACACACTCCCCCCACCCCCACCATGTTGTTTTCTTCCTCCGCCTATGCCCTGCATCCAGCCACTCACCTCCGCTGGCTTCACATCCAGCCACTCACTGGCCGCCCCCCTCCACCCCCGCTGCTGCTGCTACCACCACCAGCTTCTTTGGGGCAGGGGGTCCCAAAACTATTTCTTGCAGGGGGCCCCAAAATATGGTGGGCCAGCCCTGGGGAGAAGTAACAGAGAGAGCCAGGAGAGAAGTGCTGCAAGACAGTGGCAAAGTCTACAAGGAGGTGAGCAGGTAAGGCCCTTTGCTTTGGCTGGGAGGGGCTGGGTTTATGCATTCCCACAAACAGTGGACGTGAGAAGGCTCTTCATTCCCTCAGCTCCAGCTTCTGGGAGCATCTGATTCTCTGGGATTTTGCACAGGTCAGGTCTGCACCACAACTTACAACACTGGGCAGTGTTTCCCTTGATCAAGCAGCACTGTCTATGTGGGCTACCTCCTAAATGAAGCAGTACTAATTAACTCCCTGCCATAGTGCACATGGCCACCCGCTGCAAGGTCAGGAGGTAGAGCATAAGGAGAAACACAGAGTGTTTGAGGATGACACTGCTTGGCACAGGAAATCAGTGGTATAGACATGGCCACAGCTGTTCTGCTGATAGCACTGCCTAGCTGAGCCACTTCTCTGTGGGAACATGACAAACAGGCACTGATAAGAGCTATGCAATCTACCATTGCCACTGGGCAAGCTGCCAGCCATGTCCAGCCTCTAACCTTTGCAAAGCAAGTCCATGCTGTATATCCAGTAGGGCTGTGTGAAATTTCAGGAGCCATTTTGTTTCGGAGGTGTTTCAGCACCTGAAACACCGAATCTGAAATTAAATGGAAGGCTCCAAAACATCTCCAAAATAAAACAAAACCATCCAAAATGTTTCAGAAATGTTTCCGATGTTTCAGAATGTTTTGGAGGCGCCCCCCTGGGAATAGTCTGGCACAGCCCTGCAGGACTCCTTTTAAAGTGCTGGGAGGCTGGGGCCAGGCAGGGCAGCCATGGGGTCTTCTCCTGCAGTTCCCCCTGCCAGGGCAGAGGCAGTCACAGCTAGAGGAGCTGCGGGAGAAGCTCCCATGGCTGCCCTGCCCAGCCGCATCCCCCGCCCAGCCCCAGCCTCCTGGCACTTTAAAAAAAAAAAATAGCTCTGCACTCACCGGCTGTAGCAGCTGAGATCAGGGCCTCTGAGGGCTCATGGTAGAGCTCCCACACACAGTGCAATGCAGTGAGGGTTAGCAGGGATAGCCCCTCAACCTGGCACTTGTGTGGCAGCTGCCCCATGGTGTGTGCTGACTGGGGCTGAGGCTGCTGGGGCTGGGCAGTACCAGGCTCCGGCTGACAGGTGAAGCCGCCCCAACTCCCAGACAGCATGCAGCTCTCTGCCAGGCTGTGCTGCACCCACATGATGGGACAGCTGCTGTGCGGGTGCTGAGCAAGGGAGTGATCCCCACTGCCTTCCACTACCCCGTGCTGTGTGGGGGAGCTCTGCCATGAGCCCTCAGAGGCCCTGATCACCACTGCTACAGCCGGTGAGTGCAAGGCTTTTTTTTTTAAAGTGCTGGGAGGCTGGGGCTGTGTGGGGGATGGGGCCAAGCAGGGGAGGCATGGGGGCTTCTCCCATGGCTCCCCCTGCTGGACCAGAGGCAGGCACAGCTGGAGAAGTCACGGGAGAACCTGCAGCTGCACAGCTGTGTCTGCCTCTCCCTGGCCAATCTGAATTTCCGAATCTTCGCTGAAACAGCATTGAAACTCTGAAACAGATTCAGCCAAATTGAAACAGAACAGTGATCCAAAACACCAAAATGAATCACTGTCCTCTGAAACAGGAAGTTCAAGGCTCACCATTCCTCTGCTGTCAACATGTAGCTATAAAACCCACTGGCAAAATGTTCCATCTTCCAGGTGGCACCCTGGTTTATATAGAACCATACTGCTCCCCCATCCAGGTCAGTTGGCAGAGACCTCTGCCATAGCACATCTACTTCTATTAGCAGTAGTAGACTGTTAACCAGAAATGGACCAGACTTAAGGAAGATGGAACATTTTGCCAGTGGGTTTTATAGCTACATGTTGACAGCAGAGGAATGGTGAGCCTTGAACTTCCTGAATTCAGGTTTAGGTTCTGTAGGGGACTGTGATCTAACAGTAATAGACCCTTTGGCCTTTTTGTTCCTAACCTATCTCTGTCTGCCTCTGCTCCCATCTGCTTTAGCCCCTCAGAGCCTGCTACACATCAAATTAAAGTTGGATAGAAACCAGCTATAGAGTTGTTAAAGATTTTCAGGCACTAACTTTGTAGCTGGTTGGCTCTTTTTATAGTTAGATCATTCTTTTATGGTGTGATAATTACTTTGCACATGTGGCCTATCTAAATGTATAATGCAATTAATCAGTTAATTGTGTGATAATAATTTTGCACTTGTGGCTGATCTTACTTTGCACATGTGGCCGGTGTAAATGTATTGCACAATTAACCATTTAATTGCCTAATATATGTAACCTATAGCAGGGGCCTCAGTATCAGCTCCCCCACGTCTACCTACCCAGTCCCTGGTATCTGTCCCTTCTGCACCAATAAAGCTCCCAGCTCCAGCCCTTTTTTTCAACATTTCATCTTACTCCTATCCCTCCACACCTTTTGTATCAGGATCTCCATATCCTTCCCTTTCTTCTCTCTCCCCCACTAAGTTCCCATCTACATACCCACATCTACTCACATCTACTTCAGTCTACCCTGTTCCCAACCCCATGCATACCCTCCCCCTGACATAATTGGCTTCTGTCCCTACCCCCTCTGCTCCTAGCTTTCTCCCATGCATTACTTCCTCTCCATTCCTATGTAATTCCCTTTCTCTGTATTGCCTGTGCACCAACGTGGGGCCACAGAAAGGAAAGGAAAGGCTGTGGGCCTGCACTACAGCATTCTCCTAGCAGCAAGGAACAAAACTGCAGAGAATGTCTTGCTGTGACTGCAGCACTGGGATGGAGCATGCTTAGTAACTATGGGGAAGGCACATGTGCAGTTTGATTGGCACATCA